GGCACAGGCACAGGCACACACACGCACAGGCACAGACACGCACAGGCACAGACACAGACACAGGCACAGACACAGGCACAGACACAGGCACAGACACAGGCACAGACACAGACACAGGCACACGCACAGACACACACGCACACACACAGGCACAGGCACAGGCACATCAATTTAACCCTGAAAGGCCTAATATATAAAATAATAGTCTGGAGAAGAAAAAAAAGGAGTATCATTTGTTCTATCAAGCTTTTACGGCTCATATACTCTGATCTAGTGAGAATGTGAAGGAAAAACAGTACTGCAGTTATTCTGACGCTTACTTGATCAAAACCAGTCAAGATCGAGAATTACACTGAAAGAGCTTTGACTGCATAAAAACCTCTAAACTCTCAATCAGAGACAGAAGATGTGCAGCTGATTGAGAGACAGCAGAGTTTGAGCGTTTCAAAGCCTGAGAAACTTTTAGAGATCTCAGGTGTGTGTGTGATGATGCTGATGTCATCGCTCACCTGATCAGGTGACCTTCCATTGGTCTGAAGCTCCACAGAGAGGGCCGATCTCTCCCAGGGCAGTTTGTTCTTCCCAGCGCTCACCATCCTCCTCTGCTGAGGCGTGTTATCCGTCAGATCCACGTCTGAGCGAGAGCTGTGAACCCGGCCTCCGTTCAGAACCCAGTCCAGATCGGCCCCGGAGCCCAGCTGAGGCGGCCGTCTCTGTCCCGGTCTGGGAAGAACCAGAGCATACTCTACCGTGCCGTCAGGGGACAGTCGAGGGAGTATGTGCCGCGCACGCCGCGCCTGTACAGCAGCCATGAGGCCCTCGGCGTCTCCGGCGAGCTCCACTCGATCCACGGCCTTCATGAGCGGCTGCTTCTTACCCGTGTCCAGACAGTAGTCGAAGACGGCGAAGAGCTCCAGAGCCGCGTGACGCACCTTCTTCTTGCTGTCGGCGAGCGCCGGCGCCGCTTCAGCGCACAAGCCGGAGATGTCGAAGTCCTTGCGCGGGTGCGTGAGCATGGCGGCCGTGATGATGTTGATGACGTCCTCTCGAACCCTAGAGTTCCTGTGCTTGAGCTGAGCCACCACCAGATCCAGAACCTTCTGCGGCCCCACCATCCTCATCAGCTGCCTGAAGACGCTCATGTACTCGTGCCGCGTCACGTTCCGCGAGTCGCCCAGCGCTCGCACCGTCACGCCCACGATCTCCTTATAATAGCGCTCCACATCACACTCCAGCTTCTCGATCAGCAGGTTGATGAGCTGCAGCGCGCCGTACAACACCTTGAAGTTGCTGTCGTCCAGGAGCTTGCGTAAGAACTGGATGAACTCCACGATGCTGCCGGAGGAGACCTGCTGGAGATCCAGCTCCAGGAGGAGGTTCTTCAGCTCCTCCACGCCGCTGGTCCGCTTCTGATAGTTCTGGAGGTCCAGGAGCTGCGCGTGTAACTCCTGAGGAATCAGCCCATAAATCATCATGGATGCTGCTGATCAGAATCCAGACGGAGGCAGGGACGCACAGGAATCGGTCATGGTGATGAGGGACGGGAAGCGTCACATGATGCAGCCACAGACCTGGAATCCACAGGAAAACACTTTAGATCCCAGCGACTTAACACTGCTTTTGTGCTCCAGGGACACATATATATGTGTGTGTGAGAGAGACAGCTGTCTATCTGTCGTAAAAACACAGCGTTTGACTCCGCTGAAGCTGCTGAGATGCTTAAAATAGAGAGCAGCTGCTGTCAAACACCACAACACATGCTGCTATATTTAACAGCCAGAGCTGGAAGTGTTTTCTCAATATTTCAACATTGCATGAACTACTGATGAACACACTCATGTTTATTTGAGTTATCGCTCAGTGGGTTATTTAACCATGTTTTGTTATGTCTTTGGAAGGCTTTTGTCTTTTAAATGCACAAATTCACTTTATTCCCAAACTTGTTCGTCATCTGAACCTCTTTCAGCTAATATATTTACTTGAGATTTACAAATAAATATTTTAATAATTCAGTATCACATTTGCATGTTCACGGTTCTCTGACATTAATGACATGCAGGTCAACAAATAAAATAGTGATTTTTTTTGTATCTTGATTGATTTTATTTTAATTTTACATTTTTATGATTTAATTATTTGCTTTTCATTAAACTCACGAACCCCCTGCAGTTCATTTATGAGCCCCAGTTTAGGAAACCTTGACATAATGTAATGTTTAATCCACTTTCTGTTGTAAATAACAACAAATGTAATATATTTACTTTTTCTTTGCATTTTTTATATCAATATGGTACAAGATTGTCCTATTTAAATCAATATGATAAACGAGTTAGGTCAGAAGTAATCTAAAAGTAATCTGATTATATTACCTAAAATGTGTAGCCTAATGTAACGGATTACGTTACTGTAATCTAGAATCAGTAACGGACTACAATTCGTCATGTAGAGCAACTCAAACCCGAAACGACTGGTTTTCAAATCGATTCAGTGACGAATATTCGTTAAGTATTCGGCGGGAAAACCAGCTGTGGCTCTTCTGCAGCATTCCCTCGAGATTCTCTCATCTGACACACGTTTAATCGTGAGGCGATTCTACAGCATTAATGAGTCTCATTCATCATCGACGTTTGTCTGGGATTTTCGCGGTTTTCTAGCAAATCTACAACACGCGGCAGAATTAATCGACAATACGCTATTTAAAAACACCCACGCACAATTTACACGCGAAGCTGACTGAAATGCCTGACGTGTTTTAGTGAAAATCAAACCTGTTATCGCAGATCGCTCCGACTCCGAACGACTTCCGTCCAGATTCTGTGCGATTCTCGACGCGACTCGGTCTGATTCGCCGAATCGGCTCCCTCTGGTCTGATTTTGTCTGATTCGCGTCTGATTTTCGGTGTTTTTCCGTCGGATTCTGATTTTCTCGCTGCTTCCATCACAACACTCAAGCAAAATGGCGCTGATGTCACAACCAGCCGCTGCCATGGCGACGCACACTCTAACCCCGCACTGGCTGGCGGGCGTGCGCGGTGCATTGTGGGAGGTGTAGTTCAACGGATGCATTTGCATGTGAAGACCTGAAGACAGACAGAGACAGCAACGCTTTCGTTTGAATAATGTTATTATTTGAATTGTTATTTCGGCTTCATCAGGGCTTAAAGAGTACAAATAAAAAAGGTAATTTAAAAACAAACAAAGATTCAAAGGTTTAATATTCTGATTATTATTATTATTCAATGCGCATGATAATGTTATTTAATATTATTATTATACTATTTAATGCACACACATATTATCTGCACCTGAGGTGTAATTTTAAGATAAAAGATATTTAAAGCGCAGTCGCGTCAGAGCTTTTATTTTGCTCCCCGCGCTTATTTCCCGGAAGTGACGCACGCGCTGATTTGTGTTTGTTTTCCTGACAGTCGCGGCCGTGTTGCGCTTCAAACTGCCAGAAATCAGCCAGACACCACAGGTAAACAATGAATAAACTCTTTATTGCTGCACTTTAGCGCTCTAAATGAGCGCCTGGCCGAGTGTAAGCGCGCGTTTGTCCCGAGCTGAGCTCTGAGTGCTCTGATGCTAATGCTAGCAGCAGCTTTATTCGTTCTCTTCAGCTGATTGATGAAGATGAAGATGATTGTGATGTGTGGAGATGACTGTGATCTCTGATATTGACTCTCAACACTCCTGATGTGATCTCTGCTGTTCGTGGAGGTGTGTCAAATCTAGGGCGCTGCGGATGCTGTCTACATAGGGAGTGTGTGTGTGTGTGTGTGTGTGAGAGAGAGAGTGTACCTGTTTTTCTATCCTGGTGGGGACTTAAACCTGAATACACACAGACTCGTGGGGACTCGTGTCACGGTGGGGACCTAAATTGAGGTCCCCACGGGTAAACAAGCTAATAAATCACACAGAATGAAGTTTTTTGAAAATCTGAAAATGCAGAAAGTTTCCTGTGAGGGGTAGGTTTAGGGGTAGGGTTGGTGTAGGGCAATAGAATATACGGTCTGTACAGTAGAAAAACCATTACGCCTATGAAGAGTCCCCACAAGGATAGCTGACCAGACTGTGTGTGTGTGTGTGTGTGTGTGTGTGAGTGAGTGTGTGTGAGTGTGTGTGTGTGTGTGTCTAGAAGACCGCAGCAGTTCTGAGCCTCTGCTGTCTAGGCAGGTGTCGAGGACACACTTGAATGATGCTGTCTGAAAGGCAAACCCCTCAATATCACTGATTCCTGTCAGAGAATTAGATTTACAATCTAAGCTGATTTATTGAAATGATTGTGTTTGGATGCAGTTATATGCAAAACAAGAAAAAAGAAATGTACTATGTTACGATAACAAACAGCAGTAAAATAGTATTAAAATAGGGTATATATTAATTATCGGTTTATTAATTGCTAGATATAAATTTGCAATTGCAGAAAAACAAACAAAAACAAAACTATGGAATAAAGAAATAAAAAGGAAATTCAGAATTTTTATCTCATTTTATATTTTTACATTTACATTCATGACGTTTATATCTTACAATCTTAAATTTATATCACAATTTTTTGTTTTTTATCTCGCAATTATGAGTTTTTATCTCAAATTATTATTTTACAGCTTGCAATTATGAGTTTTTATATCAAAATTATGAGTTTATATCTTGCAATTATGAGTTTTTATATCAAAATTATGAGTTTATATCTTGCAATTATGAGTTTTTATATCAAAATTATGAGTTTATATCTTGCAATTATGAGTTTTTATATCAAAATTATGAGTTTATATCTTGCAATTATGAGTTTTTATATCAAAATTATGAGTTTATATCTTGCAATTATGAGTTTTTATATCAAAATTATGAGTTTATATCTTGCAATTATGAGTTTATATCTCAAATTATTATTTTTCATCTTGCAATTTTTTTGTTTATATCTCACAATTATGAGTATATATCTTGCAATCTTTTTAAATTAAAATCTCACTATTTTGAATTCATGTCTCACAGTTGAGTTAACTTATATCTCACAATCCTGATTTTTTTCTTGCAATTCTGAGTTTATTTTTCGCAATTCTTACTTTTTTTTTTTAGACTGTGTGTGTGTGTGTGTGTGTGTGTGTGAGTGAGTGTGTGTGAGTGTGTGTGTGTGTGTGTCTAGAAGACCGCAGCAGTTCTGAGCCTCTGCTGTCTAGGCAGGTGTCGAGGACACACTTGAATGATGCTGTCTGAAAGGCAAACCCCTCAATATCACTGATTCCTGTCAGAGAATTAGATTTACAATCTAAGCTGATTTATTGAAATGATTGTGTTTGGATGCAGTTATATGCAAAACAAGAAAAAAGAAATGTACTATGTTACGATAACAAACAGCAGTAAAATAGTATTAAAATAGGGTATATATTAATTATCGGTTTATTAATTGCTAGATATAAATTTGCAATTGCAGAAAAACAAACAAAAACAAAACTATGGAATAAAGAAATAAAAAGGAAATTCAGAATTTTTATCTCATTTTATATTTTTACATTTACATTCATGACGTTTATATCTTACAATCTTAAATTTATATCAAAATTTTTTGTTTTTTATCTCAAATTATTATTTTACAGCTTGCAATTATGAGTTTTTATATCAAAATTATGAGTTTATATCTTGCAATTATGAGTTTTTATATCAAAATTATGAGTTTATATCTTGCAATTATGAGTTTTTATATCAAAATTATGAGTTTATATCTTGCAATTATGAGTTTTTATATCAAAATTATGAGTTTATATCTTGCAATTATGAGTTTATATCTCAAATTATTATTTTTCATCTTGCAATTTTTTTGTTTATATCTCACAATTATGAGTATATATCTTGCAATCTTTTTAAATTAAAATCTCACTATTTTGAATTCATGTCTCACAGTTGAGTTAACTTATATCTCACAATCCTGATTTTTTTCTTGCAATTCTGAGTTTATTTTTCGCAATTCTTACTTTTTTTTTTGTCGTCAGAATTGCAAGAAAAGTTCATAATCGTCGTGAGATTAAAAAGTTGCAATTAGCTTTTTAATAGTTGTATTGTGTGTCAGAAACAGACTTGCGGTGTTTAGTGAGCGTGTGCAAGTGAAGCATGATGATAAGTGCGTGTGCTTGTCTGTGTGTGAGACTGTGAGAGGCTGTGGAAGTGTTTCTCAGAGCTGTAGTGTACATGTGACGCACGGCTGCTGTTTGTTCATCTGCTGGGCTTCTGGGAGTTTAATGTCCCTCAAGAACTGAAGAACGCTCTCTTCATAATCCCAGCGAGCTGCTGACTTGCACTGGTTTTCTCCCGCAGCCGTCTGTATCTGTATCTGTGTGTCTGTCAGATGGAGCAGCAGGCCAAGCCGTACATGTTTGCGAGCCTGACGCGTCCTCACTCCGAGCAGCTCCTGCAGGGTCTGCAGCTCCTGCGGCAGGATCACGAGCTCTGCGACATCGTGCTGCGGGTCGGAGACGCCAAGATCCACGCGCACAAAGTGGTGCTGGCCAGCATCAGCCCCTACTTCAAGGCCATGTTCACCGGAAACCTGTCCGAGAAAGAGACGTCCGAGGTGGAGTTCCAGTGCGTCGATGAAGCCGCTCTCAAGGTCAGAACGCACCAGCACAGCATGTACAGTAATCACTGACTCTCTAATCACACCCTTCTGCACCATCCCCTGCATGCTCAGAGCATACTTTAGTGGGGATACGCACAAACCGCATCATTCAGAAATAATACCTCAGGCTGCACGGCACGGATTGTACGACGGACTATTTAAATGAAGCAGTGTAGCTATATGTTTGGTTGAATATAGCCTATTTTATTCTGATAATGAACAGGCTGCATGTGTGTGCGTGAGGCGAAAAGATAACATACTCCTATTATATATATACATATAATTGATTCAGCACAACGTTAACGAGTTAAGTGCTCTGTTTCCGTCTCTCGTCAGGCTATAGTGGAGTACGCCTACACAGGAACCGTCTTCATCTCACAGGAAACAGTGGAGACTCTACTTCCTGCCGCCAACCTGCTGCAGGTCAAGCTGGTTCTGAAGGAGTGCTGCAGCTTCCTGGAGAGTCAGCTGGACGCGGGGAACTGCATCGGCATCTCGCGCTTCGCCGAGACCTACGGCTGCCACGAGCTGTGTTTATCCGCCTCCAAATTCATCTGCCAGCACTTCGAGGAGGTGTGCCAGACGGAGGAGTTCCTGGAGCTGACGCGCGCCGAGCTGGACGAGATCGTGTCCAACGACTGCCTGAACGTGCTGACGGAGGAGAGTGTGTTCTACGCGCTGGAGTCCTGGATCAAGTACGATCTGACGGAGCGGCAGCAGTATCTGGTGCAGCTCCTGCACTGTGTGCGGCTACCGCTGCTGAGCGTCAAGTTCCTGACGCGGCTCTACGAGGCTAATCACCTGATCCGAGACGACCACGCCTGCAAACACCTGCTCAACGAGGCGCTCAAGTACCACTTCATGCCCGAGCACCGGCTCTCCTACCAGACGGTGCTGTCCACACGGCCGCGCTGCGCTCCTAAAGTCCTGCTGGCCGTTGGAGGAAAGGCCGGGCTCTTCGCCACGCTGGAGAGGTGATGATTATACTTCACTAACACTCAAAACATCTCCCAACTTTCACTATAAAATAAAGGTTAGCTGAAATATAAAATAAAATAAAAAAACAGCATTTCTCATTTTCTTTTAGCTTAACTTCATGTGCTAATAAAATTAAGAATTGATAAAAACTATATAGACATTTTAAAACAACAAAAACTAATAAAAATGACAAAAACACAACAAAATGACTGAAATTAACATGAAAGCAGAACATTTTGAAATAAAATGCAATGCAGAATATTAACAAAAACTATTATATTCTCTCAGTGATACTAAAATAACACTGATTTGGGAAGAACAGTCTTATTGTTTGTTTTTTAATGCAATTTTTTGCTGTGCTTCTCTGTAAGTTTGGACAAAAAATGCTCTTATA